AGAATGCCTTGAATGCCCAAACGCAAGGTACTGTTCAGCAAGAACATCCGAGTGCCTTTCCCGACACCGACAAAAGCCATCAAAGTTCCAAAGAAGGCGGTGTGGAGTGACGCAAGAGCCCAACGAAAGGGTCTAAAAGGGTCTAGGGTCTTACATGGAGGTTCATGGGTACTGCAAAAAACACAGTTACGAGTATGGGAGCTCTAGTTGCACCTTGTTCAGGACGCTGTGAACCCGACATGTAGCTACCCATGAACCTCCAGGAAGGGTTCGCTTAGAGTTTTTAGTCGCTGGGGTTTCCGCCTGGCTGTTGGTGCTAGGTTTCTGCTTATCATGGCACGCGTAAGACCCGAGTTCTCTTTGCCTTCAGCCTTTTGAGAAGTACCACGTCTCCCAACTTTCTTCACGCTATCTTGTGTCGTGTTCAGAGATCCTTCAGGACAAGCTTGGATTCTCTCGCTGCGTTGGAAGAAGATCCTTCAGGACCAAATGAACCTTAAACTTGGGGTCATACACAACCTGTACTACTATAAATCCCTATTCAGGCATATGAACCATACACCCTGTTAGGGTTCATTTGGGCCCCGAAGGACGGCAGGCTTTTCCATTCCCTAAACCCTATATCCTATACCCTAAACCGTAAACCCTAAACCCGAAACCCTAAACCCTAAACCTGAATCCATTCTGGAGCAAAAGGGTTTCCCTTAATGGCAGGTGAAGCGCACTCACGGAGAAGAGAAGCTTTCACACGGCCACTTGGTGAAGCAATTTCTGGGGCAGCTCCCCGATCCAGGTTACAGACCCTCGATTGGGGGAACCTTGTAAACAACCTTTTTAGGGTTTAGGGTTTATTGGGTTTAGGGTTTAGGGTTTAGGGTTTGGGCGACTGAATGACAACTCCCCCTCCCACCCTCCCTAATCCCCCATGCCCCGTTTCCCCGCCGCCTCGGGACCCCGTCCCCCGTCCCCGTTTGCTTTCCTGCTTAGAAGCCCCACTTTACAACCAGAACCCCAGTGACTGTACAACCCGCAAGCCTTCCCAAAAACGCCCGTTTTGCGACCAGATGCGGAAACTTCTTAAACCCTAAACCTAGACCCTAAACCTAAACCCTAAACCCTAAACCCTAAACCCTAAACCCTAAACCCTAAACCCTAAACCCTAAACCCTCAACCCTCAACCCTAAACCCTAAACCCTAAACCCTACTTAAAACGTAAGTCCTGCAGCCACGAGCTTCATCCTTTCGAGCATGTAGGCTTCACGGCAAAAGGCTGGTTGCAAACTGGGTAACCCGAAACTTTAAACCCTAAACCCTAAACCCTAAACCCTAAACCCTAAACCCTAAACCCGAAACCCTAAACCCTAAACCCTAAACCCTAAACCCCAAACCCCAAACCTAAACCCTAAATGCCACATTCCAAGAAGGCTTAATGTGAACTTGGACTCGCGCAGGATGCGAGAGGGCAGATTGCCGAGAAACCCCGCGTCAGGCATATACTTAGTGATACTATGCCGGAAACTTCTCTTGTTTTTTTCAAAAATCATTCTGTGATTTAAACTAAATACATCACTAGATCGAAATAAATAGTTATAAACAAATAAATGATTAAATATGTATATATATATATATGCACACATTTCTACAGCTGGGGCCCACAGTTGCTCCCCACTTGATGGACCGACGTATACCATTGCCTAATGATGTCATCCTCAATCGTCAATGTCGTCGTCCTGGGTCATGGCCATCCCCATCGAAACAATCATGGGGGTTTAGGGTTTGGGGTTTAGGGTTTAGGGTTTAGGGTTTAGGGTTTAGGATCTTCGTCATTCACGTTTAGGATTTTGCATGTTTGGGGTTTGGGGTTTGTTGGGCCGAGGGGATAATGGTTTACTTTAGACAGATACAAGAGAATGGGTATATCTTCTGCCATGGCAGAACCCAATGTTCGTGTCCGCATGTTGACGTGGGAGGCGGATACTGCTCGGTAGCCTTGTGAGTTTTCGCAAGCCTTGAGAGATTTTGCTTGGGGCACACAGCAAGCACAAGTGGCATCATCGACTTCCCCCATGCCCTACCTGCCATCACGCAGACCAAATCAAATCCCAGTTCTGCCATTGCCTGAGGCCAGCAGCTTCTTGACGGGCATTCGCTTGGTGCCGCCCCTCTGCTGACAATTGCTTTGTGAGTGAGCAGAGGCATGGCCCTGCCATCCGTAAATCCGCAAATACTGTGACACTACTGTGAATACCGCCTGGCATACGTCCCGGCAAAGGAATGTTCCCCCGCGAGGTTTGCGAGCACGCCCGGCAAGTGCAGCAAGTGTAGCGAGGCGGTCTCTATGTCGAGAAGCATGCTTAAGGGTTCAATGTTCAAGGCTTAGCGCGTAAGGATTCACGGTTCAGGGTTGAGGTGGTGCAAAGATTCGGGCTTCACTTGGAGTTTGTTATAGAGCGCCCACGGGAACATCAGCGGGACGCAGATTTGGGAGTGGGCTGGTTTCCCTTCCAGCCCTTCTCGAATGAATGCCCAACGGGTGATCATTTGTCATCAGGGCAGATGTGGGGGTTTACGACAATAGGGAACCCCTAAAACAGACCCCCCAATAGTAGGATTCCCTGAGAATAAGGACCTCAAAAAGGGTACTCCTATCTTCGTAAACCCCCATTTGAGTTTTCGCGCTGACTCTGGTTCAGCAGTCGCATCAGAGCTGTTGCGCTTGCACGTGGGGCCTCCTTTTGCTGTGTGGCCCCCTCAGCATTAGGGTTTAGGGTTTAGGGTTTAGGGTTTAGGGTTTAGGGTTTAGGGTTCAGGTGTTCTCTCAACACGCACTTGGAGGCAACTAAGCCGTCAGCCCAAAGCCCAAAGCTCTAACTCGGCCATAAGCGTGCAAGTGCCGACGCAACCTTGAGAGCATTTATGAAACTTTCTTCTGCGGAGCTTGCAGCAAGTGGCACTGTCTCGGAGCAGTCGACCAGTACACCCTGCACAAAAAACCAGAGATCCGAATGCAATTCTAAACCCTAAACCCTAAACCCTAAACCCTAAACCCTAAACCCTAAACCCTAAACCCTAAACCCTAAACCCTAAACCCTAAACGCTAAACGCTAAACCCTAACCCCCTGCCCCTCCTCAACCCTCAACCCCCAACCCCCAACCCTCAACCCTCAACCCTCAACCCTCAACCCTCAACCCTAAACCCTAACCCCTCAACCCTCAACCCTCAACCCTAAACCCTAAACCCTGGCTGTAGCACTGGCCCTAAGCCTTAAACCCTAAACCCTAATCCCAGAAAGAGCGTGACTGGAGCCACTCAAGCCACAGCCAAGACCTCCAATGGAGCCTTCGAAAATGGGGGTGGGTCCCTTTAAGCGGATTCTGTTCCATTTGCGGTCTAGGGTTTAGGGTTTAGGGTCCCTTTACAGGGATTCTACTCTACTTGTGGTATTTTCGGGGTCCCCTCATTTCGGGCAACGCCCATATTGGTGCACCTTACAAGAAAGCCCGAGATGACGAGGCTTCCTTGTGTCTCACGTTGTTTCAATTTCTTTGTGTCACCTGTGCATTGGAAGGAGGAACAGAGGGCCAGTGTGAAGCGAGACTAGACAGGGCTTACCAGCCTCTGCGTCGTCGCGAGTGTCACCCGGCGGGCTCCGAACGATGCCTGAGCGCAACTCCGGCGCTTCGGACGGTTCTGCTGCATACACTCTTGCGTGGCGCCTATGCTGGCCCGCACGCACACAGACATGCGCGCACACCTGGCTGCTTCCTTTGCAAATGACTAGGTCAAGCTGAGTGGGTTGATACAGTGTCACCGTGAGCATCAGGCTGAAGGCACAACACTCCTAGACAGTGCTGCACTGCAGGGTGTTGTGGTGGCTTTTGGTTGTTTCTGCTGTGGCATGGAGTGGCACTTGTCCAGTCCACTAGCTGCGATTCGTTGCGATTCCCTTTCACAGCAGCGCAAGCTGTCGTTGGAGAGTGGAGAAGTGAAGCCGCATGCAGAGAAAACTAAAGCATGGCCGACAGGACACCAGCAAACTCTGAAGCAATGATTGCACGGGGTTGCTTTTTTTTGGTGCCTACGGCTAAACTGCAAGCCTTTGAATCCCCAAACTGTCCGAGGTTCTCATGGAAGAACTCAATGTCAAGGCTGGGAGCTCTGAAAAGCCCCTAGACCCTAAATCCTAACCCCTAAACCCTAAACCCTACAACTTTAAACCCCAAACCCTAAACCCTAAACCCCTGGCAGTCTGGAGCATCATGTGCCTTACACCCCGAACCTCGCACAGCTCCGCGATGCCCCTGTTTGCTCATGCTCGCGTGCACGCGATCCAGTAGGCATGTGCTATTCCGTCGAAGGGCATGGGGAATCCGCCGTAGGTGAGCCAGACCAGCGCACGCGGAGCGGTCATGAGCACCAAGAGGAACAACAACAAATATGATGGTGATCATTCTTATTCTTAGTCGTCGTTGTGGTCGTCGTCGTCGTCGTAGTCGTCGTCGTAGTAGTCGTAGTAGTAGTAGTAGTAGTAGTAGTAGTAGTAGTAGTAGTAGTAGTAGTAGTAGTAGTAGTAGTAGTAGTAGTAGTAGTAGTAGTAGTAGTAGTAGTAGTAGTAGTAGTAGTAGTAGTAGTAGTAGTAGTAGTAGTAGTAGTAGTAGTAGTAGTAGTAGTAGTAGTAGTAGTAGTAGTAGTAGTAGTAGTAGTAGTAGTAGTAGTAGTAGTAGTAGTAGTAGTAGTAGTAGTAGTAGTAGTAGTAGTAGTAGTAGTAGTAGTAGTAGTAGTAGTAGTAGTAGTAGTAGTAGTAGTAGTAGTAGTAGTAGTGGTGGTGGGAATGCTAGGAATCGCTTGGAAAGGCGCCACGCCTCGATGATTTAGAACGCCAGCTTTTGGGTCTTGAAGCGGCGACTCCGGGCCATTAGGGCTTAGGGCTTAGGGCTTAGGGCTTAGGGTTTAGGGTTTAGGGTTTAGGGTTTAGGGTTTAGGGATTAGGGGAGGAGCCATGGCGTCTGGCAGATGTCTGATGTGTGGCGTGTTGGCGTGTGCAAGCTCTTTGATCTTTGGGCGGCTTTTGAGAAGAGCTCTCCTTCTTGTGTTGTCGGTTCTTGGGTCTTCAGTCCAAGCTTGATCTTCAGCATGTTTTGGGATGTTCCCCCTTATGCCTTATACTAGCAGCCCCTTAAATAGGGATTCTCATAAATAGGGGTCACTATATTCCCGAGTCAGGGCTGTTAGTATAAGGGGGAACATCCCAAACGCGACAAGGATACAGCTCGTGGTCTTCTCTTCCATCTACGGCGTCGCCAAGGTGGGAGCTTCCGAAAAGAATTGGTGGGGGGGGGGGTACCTCTCTCTTTGGGGGTCCTTATTTGTATAGGAAATCCTACTATTTTGGGGGGTGCATGTAGGTACCCTTTTTTTTTGGGGGGGGGGGGGGCTTATTCTAAGCCTTAGAAATATAAGGGAATCCTACTAGTTGAGTCAGGTGAACGTGCAGTTCTGGCGAGCTGCGCCGACTGTGAAGGTTGCGGCAGAGCCAGCGAAGCCGGCAACCCCTTCGGAATCCCGCATCAACTGTTTACGGCTTTTGCATTGTTTAAAGGATTCTTTGAACCCAAAACCCTAAATGCAAAACCCTAAACCCTAAACCCTAAACCTTAAACCCTAAACCCTAAACCCTAAACCCTAAACCCCAAACCCTAAACCCTAAACCCTAAACCCTAAACCCCAAACCGTGAACCCTAAACCCTAAACCCTAAACCCTAAAACCCTAAACCCTAAACCCTCAACCCTTTGGAATGACCAGAGACAAGGCTGCCAAAAGCACTGCTCAGCCTGCGTTGAGACCGGTGAAGCCGCCGCCTCCTGCGCGCCCAGCGCAGAAGAGGAAGAAGCCCACGTCGAGAGAGGTCTTCGGCACGGTGTGCCCTTCCGCGCAGTTCTATGGGGGCTACAGGACACCCTAAACCCCAAACCGTGAACCCTAAACCCTAAACCCTAAACCCTAAGCCCTAAACCTCTCTACCATATAACCCTTAAATGTTAAACACGAATTTGGCGTTTAGACCCCCATTGTTCAGCACGAATTTGGCGTTTTGACCGTCTGACCTGTTTGGCCCCCCCATTCTTCAGCACGAATTTGGTGTTTTGACCCGTCTGGCCCATTTGGCCCCCCCCATTGTTCAGCACGAATTTGGCGTTTTGACCCGTCTGACCCGTTTGGCCCCCCCATTGTTCAGCACGAACTTGGCGTTTTGACCCGTCTGACCCGTTTGGCCCCCCCATGGTTCAGCACGAATTTGGCATTTTGACCCGTCTGACCCATTTGGCCCCCCCATTGGGCAGCACGAATTTGGCGTTTTGACCCGTCTGACCCGTGTGATTGTTTGGCCTCTTGGTGCGTCTAAACAGAAATTGAGAAAAACTTTATATTTTCTCAATGTTATGGGATTCTTTGGGCGGGTGGGTTTTTTCCGTTGCCTGCACACACTGCTGGCCTAGTACATGCTCGAACTTGAGATGCTGAACCCTAAACCCTAAACCCGAAACCCTAAACCCTAAACCCTCAACCCTAAACCCTCAACCCTAAACCCTAAACCCTCAACCCTAAACCCTAAACCCTAAACCCCTCCAGGAATGGTCAAGGCGGGAAGCTACCTGACGGCGAGGGCGGCTTCATGGTGTGCGACACCGGCGGGTTGCGAGAGGCCGCGCAGAGCGCGGCCGGCTGCTTGGTGTACTCCGTGGGAAGTGACTTGAGGATGCTTGGAAAATTTGTTGGGTACTGTATTTCCAAAGAAACAGCAAAAGCAATTTTGCTAGGGTTCCGAGTTCAGTATAGGTGATGGGGAGTTCTCTTTTGAGAGGGCGGTGCACAAGGAGATCTCCGAGAAGTGTGAGATACACACTTTCGATGCTTATCCCATCGAGAAGTACTTGGACAAGAGCTACAACCCTGGCTATCCTCATGATCCTGTTCCCAGTTTCGTGACATACCACGCGATAGCGCTCGACGAAAACAATAACATCGATAGCCTGATGCAGAGCCTGGGGCACTATGGCCAGACGATAAGCCTGCTGAAGGTGAGTTGCAATGGCTGCGAAGTTGCATCGCATCTCGGTTGGCTTGCTGGTGGTACCAAGATTGACCCTCTGCTGCGAGTTCGACTTTCAAAAAACTTAAGAGTTCAGGGCTTAGGTGCCTTTTTTTCATAGTCTGAAGCCTCGACAGAGATTGGCCCCGCCACCCACAGCTGGGTTTAGGGTTTAGGGTTTAGGATTTAGGGTTTAGGGTTTAGGGTGCAGGGTTTAGGGTGTAGGGTTTAGGGTTTAGGGTTTAGGCTTCGTAGCAATCCCCAGAATGCTGAAACCTTGAGCCTGGAACCTCCGTCTGCCTCAACCCGAAGCTCCATCTCGCGACACCCCACCCCTTTAGGGTTTAGGGTTTAGGGTTTAGGGTTTAGGGTTTAGGGTTTAGGGTTTAGGGTTTAGGGTTTAGGGCAAAGGCTATTGTACTTATAACCCCACTGATCGGGACCTACGAAGCTTCTCGTGAGGCCGCAGATTCTGATCTTGGGTTCTTGTCAAGTTCCAGCAGGAAAAGGTGATATCACTTCTACCAGAACTTGTAGCCCTTTTGTGGAAACTTAGTCAAAGTCCTTTAAGAACCAGGGATTCCTAAGCCCTGCCCTACACCATCTTTTCACCCGAATTCCCTTCATGGCAAGCGTGGATTCTGCAAGGAGCTCCTGCGTACAGCCAGGGAACCTTAGGGTCTAGGGTTTAGGGTTTAGGGTTTAGGGTTTAGGGTTTAGGGTTTAGGGTTTAGCGTCTTAGGATATTCATGGCCTCATGTTCGGGTGTACGAAAACAAGGGATTCTCGCATAATACGGACCCCTATAAGGTGCCCCTACTTTCGGAAAACCCTAAACCCTAAACCCTAAACCCTAAACCCCAAACCCCTAAACCCTAAACCCCAAACCCCAAACCCTAAACCCTAAACCCTAAACCCTAAAGCCCAGGACCAAGTGGTGGTCCGTCAGGCGCGACCCGATGACGACTCCGTGGCGAGCTTTCTGAACTCGAGCGGCTACGGCTGCTTTCAAGGTGGAGCCTGAGCAGCCATCAAGTCCCTTTAACCCTAAACTTTATACCCGAAGCCGAAAAACCCCAAAGCCTCAAGCCTAAAGCCGAAAGCCTAAAGCCTAAAGCCTAAAGCCTAAAGCCTAAAGCCTAAAGCCTAAAGCCTAAGGCCTAAGGCCTAAGGCCTAAAGCCTAAAGCCTAAAGCCTAAAGCCTAAAGCCTAAAGCCTAAAGCCTAAAGCCTAAAGCCTAAAGCCTAAAGCCTAAACCCCAAACCAAACCCAGTAGGGTAGGCAGCTGGATTTCACGCTTCTCTTTGTATCGCTGGGGCGTGCTGCAGTCCAGTTCGACTCTATGCAAAGGCACAAGAAGCCAAAACAGGGTTTCGGGTTTAGGGTGAGGCTTTAGGGAGTCAGCTACTGATACTCAATTCCTGGATCTGCTATACATGTGATATACGTAGACGTACACCTGGCCTCCTAGACACAAAGGTTGCACCGCACAACCTGTGACCGGGCTTGCTTCCAGCACGCAGCGGGGATGTTCAACACCTTGCTCGCCCCGACAGCCGACAGGCGACCACCACACACGCACCATGTACAGCTTGCTGCAGACTGCGGGGACTGGTTCGTACTACACGACAAACTCGACAATTCGGGTCAAGGTGTAGGCGTCTCAATGAGAGGTCGCGCTCAAGCGGCAAGGCTGAACCACGAGACGCATGGCCTTCTTCACGTGTCTCGAACGCCTCGTGACGGGAATCGCTTGGCTTCCAGCCCACCCCAACATCCATCTGATCTTAAACTTTTTCGCCGCACAGCTGGCCATTCTAATTTGAAAGCGCAACTCGAGAGCTTCATCACGTACGCACCGTGTGGCTGCACTTGCAGCAAATCTAGCAATGCGAGCAGTGCAACTCTGTCGACCTCTGCCGTCGCTTACGCCCTGACCTCTTGGTTGTCGGGAATGGTGTTGGTAACGACAAAGTCACCAACCCCACACGCTTGGTCCAGCTGCTTGTTAAACAAAGCTGCACTCTGCGGAAGGCCAGGACGGAGGTAAACTTGAACTTACCCTGGTGTGCGTCTGCTCACAAAAGTAGTTCTTACCCGCAAGTCCCGTGTCTTCCATCTGGAGATTGCAGAGCAATGTTTGCATCAACCCAAAGTGCGACACCACAATTAGCAAGGTCACAAGGGCCCGTCGAGCAGAACACCGCGCACCAGGGCAACCAACCGGCGCACGGGGCACGGTCAGCGATGCGCTGCGCATGCTCCGGTGTTTCAGAACACATAGACTTTCTGTGTAGGCTGAGCGTTACAGCTTCTGCAGTTGGAGAACTGCCCCCTTCAACAACTGCGTCGATCCACGCAAGCAATCCTTCTTCTGGGGCGAGCCTTAAGCCCACCTCAGCCGCTTGGATCTGCGGGAGTAGCCGTGCAGCATCGCGTAGCTTTCGGCCATTGAAGCTCCAGTTCGCCTCAAATTTAGCAACCCTGTCTGCGACTGGAAAAGTTTTGTCGAAGTTTCTTGCAAGCGGTCAGGCCCGAAGACCTGTTGGGATCCAGTTCCCAAGAATCCAGGTGACCAGTGGTGGCTGTGACGATTCTTGCCATTCTGAACATGAAGACTTCCGCCACTTGCGACCGATTCTCGGCTGTCGCTTGCCACGCTCTGAATTCCACAGGGTTGCCACCAGCGTCGCTATAGCGTTCCCCTCCTCGAAGTCCTTCTTCTCCGCAGAAGGGCGACCTTGGAGCCTCTGTTCCGAAGTGGGGGTTTACGATCTGAGGGGTACCTTATGGGGGCCATTATGATGAGGGGATCCTATTATTTGGGGGCCTATATCAGGGGGTCCCTCTATTCCCAAGTAGTTGCAGCAAAGAGCGCCCCTTCTCCCATCCCAATGCTTCTGCTTGGCATGACCTGCCGGTCGTCCATCGCCACCCGCGCGCTCCCCAGGCCCCCTTATTCGGCGTTGAACCCGCGCCGGGGTCCTGATGACCCTAGCAGCTGGAGTTCGCGCGCTTCTTTCCGTCGCTACGGGGCAAGATGCAAGAGGCCAAAGAATATGGCTACTCGCATTCAAGTCCTGGACCTGTTGCCTGTGATTCAGAAAGCACTGCGCAGTACATGCAGACATACACTTGGCTCTACAGGTTTCGTCGCTACCTTGGAACGGAACACTACATCCCCCTTTGGAATCATTTTTATATTTTGGTTCATATAAAACCCAAGAGGATATTAAACCTGTTATTCTTTATTAAGGTTCTAAGGGGAGTATAGAATATGGCAAGAAACTCCGACGTTGCGCGGCACAAGCTCTGATCTGTCCTTGGTCGTGCGCACGATAACTTTGGAACATTGAGACCTCGACTAAGCCCCTTAAGCTCTCCAAAGGACTTAAACCCTAAACCCTAAACCCTAAACCCTAAACCCTAAACCCTAAACCCTAAACCCTAAACCCTAAAACCCTAAAACCCTAAAACCCTAAAACCCTAAACCCTAAACCCTAAGCCCGAAGCCCTAAGCCCTAAGCCCTAAACCCTAAACCCTAAACCCTCAAGCCTAAACCCTAAACCCTAAACCCCAAACCCCAAACCCCAAACCCTAAACCCCAAACCCCAAACCCCGAACCCAAGGAGACGGCTTCCACTTATTGGGCTGCATCAAGCTGCCCTTGCGGAGTTCGGCTCTGGTTCCGCAGGAGACAGCCAGGAAAAAGACTGTTCTGAGGATACCGCCTCCGTCAAAGAGCTCCGTTTGCATGGTGGTTCCGGTATATCCGCCTCACTTTGCGGCGCTTGCAGCACGCATGGAGATGGTCAAGCGAACGAACATCGGCCCTCCTGTGAAGTCCGTCATCGTCTTCGGAGACGACTCCGAGTATGCGGACTTCTGCGCAAAGAACGCGGACATCTGCGCGGACGACGAGTTCCACCCCATGACCTTGGAGGAGCTGATTGGCTTCGAGGCTCACACGAAGCTGAAGCGCATGCTGGAATTGCAGCATCCTCCGGTTAGATTCCGGTACAAGGGTGACCGGCGTGGTTGTTGGTCAAAGACTGGCGGGCGCGTCTACCAGACGGTGAAGAAGTTCTACGGGGTGGCTTACGGACCTGCCGAGTGTCAGACCTACTGGGTTTGTGATGCCGAGTCCCTACCTTTCCGCAAGCACAACCTGGCGGAGCATTTAGCCCTAAACGCAAAAACGCCAAGAATCGTTGTAAGCTCCTGGCACGATGAGCCGGACTGCGCCAAAGTGGCTGCGGACGATGGGACCGACCAGTCCTGCGCGATCATGATGACCAACAAAACAAACGGCATGCGCTTCAAGAATGACACTGCGCCCTCTGTCTGGACGCCTGCCCGTTGGAAGCAAATATTCCAGAATGTGGACCAGTGGTGGTACTACGATCGAACCGTAACGGCAGACTGGCTCAAGTTTATGGAAGAGTCAGCTGACATGCCAGCTTGGTCTGTTTTCGGCTTCTATGAGCTGTCCGACATGTCAATGTACGGCATGATGATGCACTGGTCGGCTTTTCATGCTCATGTCGGGCGAACAAAGATCGTGAACATCAGGGAAGAGATCCGCAAAGTGGATGCTGCTGCTTTCGCCAAGTGCTGCAGCTGTTCTGCACATCCGACACCGAACGGGGCACCTCCCCCGTGCTCAACCGCCCCAGAACTCTTCAGGGGCTGCCTGTTGCAGATACCGTTCCGTCGGCGTTTGGAGATTGCTGTCGAGCGGCTTGGGTTCTTTGGCTTCTCCAACTACAACCGCTTCACCCTGATTCCCGATTCCGCGTACAACCAGGTGACGGATGCCGGCCACGGCCTCCACTGGTGCTACATCAACTGCTTCAAGACGAACGCCATGAGCAAGATACTGGCACTCGAGAATGTGGACGTCGAGGGCATCAACAAGTTTCATGGGCCTTCTTGGGATTCTTTTCTTTTTCCCCAATTTGTATTCTTATTTTCCTTTCCTCTTCTCGATGCAGTAACCACTTGGGATATTCCCCCCTTATACTGACAGCCCTGGATCGGGGTTATTGTGCCCCCCTGCTATAATCCCTGTTAAGGACTGCTAGTATAAGGGGGAACAATCCCTAATTACCCCCTACTATAATCCCGATAAAGGATTGCTAGTATAAGGGGGATCCTTAATAGGGAATGTTTGTACCCCCGACTAGAATCCCTATTAAGGACTGCTAGAAGAACGGGGAGCAATCCCAAGTAACCACCCTTGAACCCCGAAGTCATCTTCCCTTGTGGTGCCTGTCTCTCATACCAGAATAACCCTCCAAAACCCTATTCTAATTATCCAGGCTCCTGCAATATTCTTTCCTTTCCTCTAAACCCTAAGCCCTAAGCCCTAAGCCCTAAACCCTAAACCCTAAACCCGAAACCCTAAACCCTAAACCCTAAACCCTAAACCCTAAACCCTAAACCCTAAACCCTAAACCCTAAACCCTAAACCCTAAACCCTAAACCCCCGAAGTCGGCAAAGGGTGAAGGATGCCTTCATCCACACGAACGTCTGATGACACCGAGTGCAGGGGAGAGGACGACTCATCGTGGCAGGCCTTCGGATTGGTGCTTAGGGTTTAGGGTTTAGGGTTTAGGGTTTAGGGTTTAGGGTTAAGGGTTCAGGGTTTTGGGTTTAGGGTTTAGGGTTGCTTCCGCATGCAGAATTACACCAACACATCCCCCTCAGGGGCTTCGTGAAACCACGGTGTTGGGACCCACTGTCCTTCGTGCTTTCGGGGGGCTTTGGCGGGGGTTGCCCTGAGAGAAAAAAGTGGAGAGCCTTCAGCGGGCACCCTAAAATCTAAACCCTAAACCCTAAACCCTAAACCCTAAACCCTAAACCCTAGACCCTAAACCCCAAACCCTAGACCCTAAACCCTAAACCCTAGACCCTAAACCCTAAACCCTAAACCCTAAACCCTAAACCCTAAACCCCAAACCCCTAAACCCCTAAACCCCCAAAAAGGAGGATATTTGAGCTGAGGGATGCTCTTGGCTCAGGCGCGCGCCCCCTAGACCCTACCCCCCCTTCCCGCCAAATTCCAAGCCAGCCCGACACCCCAAACCCCAAGCCCCCAAACGGTTTAGGGTTTAGGGTTTAGGGTTTAGGGTTTAGGGTTTAGGGTTTAGGGTTTAGGGTTTAGGGTTTACCAACGAACCCGAAATCTGGGGGTTTAGGGTTTAGGGTTTAGGGTTTAGGGTTTAGAGTGTAGGGTTTAGGGTGGTTGTATGCTCTACTTGGGATGTTCCCCCTGATACTGACAGCTCCGTACCGGGGATGATAATAGGGGGTACTCTTATCCCTCTTCAGGTCTGTTAGTATAGGGGGAGAACATCCCCAACCCCACACCCTAAAACCGAGTCAACCTCTTGACAAGGGAGGGCTGAAGGCAGTCAGGAAGGAGCACCGTTTCTGACTCGAAGCCTTGAACCTGAAGCAAGGGGCACGGGTTCCGAAAAGTTTACCAGTAGGGTTTAGGGATGTTTAGGGCTTAGGGTTTAGGGTCTGGGGTCTAGGGTTTAGGGCTGAGGGCTTAGGGCTTCGGGCTTGGGGCTTGGGGCTTAGTGCTTGGTGGTGCATGGGTGCTTATGAGTGGGTACTCACAATAGGGTTAGACGTAGAGTTACGATATGTGTAGCCCTACTTGGAACTACCCGTACACCTCCAAGTGAAGCGATGACACCCTAGACCCTGAGCCCTTTTAACTCTAAGCCCTTAGAACCCTAAACCCTAAACGCCTCAACCCTAAACCCTGTACCCTAAACCCTACCTAAACCCTAAACCCGAAACCCGAAACCCGAAACCCTAAACCCTAAACCCTAAACCCTAAACCGCCACTTTCTGGCCCACCTTCTGGCCCAATTGGAGGGAACGCCTCGTTCAGATTTCGGGTTTGGGGTTTAGGGTAGGGAACTGAGGCAGAAGGTACCGTCTCTCCCCTAAACAACTTGCTGAAGGGATCGTGTGAAGAGGCTAACTGCCCAAAGCGTGCCCTAAACCCAAAGCCCTACGAACAACGACATGAGGCGTCACCCTAAACCCTAAACCCTAAACCCTAAACCCTAAACCCTAAACCCTAAACCCTAAACCCTAAACCATAAGCCCTAAGCCCTAAACCCCCGGCAGTTTGGGGGTTGCCTCAGGGCTGTGGAGATTCTTGTTTTTCATGTTGGGAGCGAGGGGAGGGCTTTACGGTTTTAAGGCTTTTAGGGTTTTAGGGCTTTTCGGGTGTTAGGAATTTAGGGTTTGGGAATTTAGGATTTTTGGACCATAGGACTTAGGAATGTAGGGTTTTGGGGCTACAGGGTTCACACTTGTGGTATGAGCTCCGGATGTTGAGGAGCACCTGTTCCGGCGATATTCATCGCATGTTTTGTGAGAGGTGTTCAGACTCTGAGCCATGGTATCTCGACGATGCCTCGTATGTGGGGTTCTGGCATTTATTAGCTCGCTGATGCTTGGATACTCTTGAGTCACATCGCATGTGTTTGTAGCAAGCAGCTCTGAAGTCAGGCATCTTCACGTGGAATCCAAGATGCAACTCTCCAAGGATACAGCTCATGGTCTTCATTTCCATCTACGGCGTGGGCAAGGTCAGCGTTCCGTTTTGGCACCTGTGGCCCCTGCGGGAGTCCAGTGTTGCAGAGCAGCTGGCCAAGGCGTCGCAGCCTCGCAGCTCGAAGCTCTTCGGCACGCCCTGTCCGTCCGCGTACTTCTACGGGGGCTTCAAGCACGGGCAAGGCGGGAAGCTGCCGGATGGCGAGGGCGGCTTCGTGGTGTGCGACACCAACGGACTGAGGGAGGCCGCAATGAGCTCAAAGGGCTGCTTGGTGTACCTTGGCCATAGTTGGGTACCATTTTTTACATTTTGAAAGGGTACCTAAACCCTATAAGGAATAATGATTTTTGAATTTTGTGAATATGATCCCAACCATAAACTAGGTACTTAAACCCTATAAGGAATAAGAATTTTTGAATTTTGTGAATATGATCCCAACCATGAACTAGGTACTCTGTGGGAAGTGAGGGGGACTTCACCTTCGAGAGGGCAGTGCACAGGGAGATCTCCGAGAAGTGTGAGATACACACTTTCGACACGAACCCAATCGAGAGGTACCTGAACAAGAGCTACCGGCCGGGAATTCCTCACGAGCCGGTTCCAGACTACGTGACGTACCATGTAGCCTCACTCACAAGAGCCAACAACATCCGCGCACTGGCGCAGAGCTTGGGCCACCAGGGTCGGACCATCAATCTGCTCAAGGTCAGTTGCGGTGGCTGCGAGATTTCATCGCATCCAGATTGGCTGGCTGGCGGTACCAAGATTGAGCCTCGGGCGCAAAACAAAGGCCCCGCCTAAACGCTACACCCGAAATCCCAAACCCCTAACCACGGAAGTTTGATCAGCACTTAGAAGGTTGGGGGCTTACTAGGCAAGTTTTGGGGGGTAACAACTTCGTAGTCTTCTGCTTGCTGAATGTCTCAAGCTGTCGTCCACATGTCTGCCGTTGTTTACTGAGTTTGTTTCTTGATTTTCCTGTGTTTGTCAGAGTTGTGGCGCCCGAATCAGTCAGCGAGTTCGGAATTCTAAGCCCGAATGTTGCGGCAGCCTACGTCCCTAGTAGCAGAGTAGGCAACCTTTTACCTCTTTGGGGGCAGTATAACCCCCTTATTCATCCCAAAGGTTCACCTTTAAATTTCCCCCAAGGTTACCGGAGCAACTAAGAGTCAAAAAAACGAAAACGAAAAGCCGCGCGCACTTCCAAGGACCAGATCGTCGTCCATCAAGCCAAGCCGAGGGATGAGACGCTGGCCCGCTTCCTGACCTCCAAGGGCTACGGCTGCTTCCAGGGCGGAGACCTGGCCAAGCTGATGGCCATGATTGCTTTCTCTTTTTTTCTTGGGAAGAGCGAGAAAAGATGGCCACAAGAAGGGGAAGAATGTAGCACAAAGGCAACGGGAATGGGACCGGGGGGGGGGGGGGTTGGGGTCGTTATTTCGGAGACGGGCATGGTACTTTTGTGCGTGCTGCCTGTCTCCGGATGTCAATTTGGAGTGATACCTGCTTCACCTGCAGAAATAGGGCTTTAGCGACAGGCTTGAATTACAAACGTGGCACTTGGTGGTGGTGGCGGTGGTGGTGGTGGTTGTTGGGGGGCTAGTCGTATTTGTAATAGCAAGAGCAAGAGTAGTAGCAACAGCAACGCCAATAGCAATCGCAACAGCAATAGCGATCGCAATAGCAATAGCAACAGCAATACTCGCAATAGCAATAGTACATATTATTGGTAATGGTAATCGTAGTAGTACTCGTAACCGTACGGGACATGGTAATAGTAGTCGTAGTAGAAAGAGAAAGAGTCAGAGCAAAGGGAAGAGGAGGAGTAAGAGGAACAGTAAGAGCAAGAGCAATAGCAACTGTCGTAAGAAGTATTCGTCATAGCAATGGCAAGGGCAATGGAAATGGAAACAGTGCTGGAAACAGAAGCGAAGATCCGGAATCGTCCACCGCCTTGTCTAATGCAACAAGTCTTGACCTGTGTCCAGTTTGGTGGAACGGCTAAGGAGATGACTATCTGTTGGGCTGTATCATGCTGCCCTTGAGGAGCTCTGCTTGGGTGCCTCCCGCAGTTTTCAAGCGAAAGACGGTTCTGAGGATACCGCCTCCATCAAAGAGCTCCGTTTGCATGCTTGTCCCTGTCTATCCTCCTCATTTTCCGGCGCTTGCGGCGCGCATGGAGATGGTCAAGCGAACGAACATCGGCCCTCCCGTGAAGTCCGTCGTGGTCTTCGGAGACGACTCGGAGTATGCGGACTTCTGTGCAAAGAACGCGGACATCTGCGCAGACGACGACTTCCACCCGATGACCTTGGAGGGCCTGATTGGCTTCGAAGCTCACACGAAGCTGAAGCGTATGCTTCTGTTGGAGTACCCGCCCTTGAGGTTTAGATACAAAGGCGATCGGCGAGGGTGCTGGTCAAAGTCTAGTGGACGCGTCTACCAGACTGTGAAGAAGTTTTACGGGGTGGCTTACGGACCTGCCGAGTGTCAGACCTACTGGGTTTGTGATGCCGAGTCCCTACCTTTCCGCAAGCACAACCTGTCGGACCATCTAGCCCTAAACGCAAGAACGCCAAGAATCGTTGTAAGCACCTGGTACGATGAGCCGGACTGCGCCAACGTGGCTTGTGACGATGGGACCGACCAGTCCTGCGCGATCATGATGACCAACAAAACAAACGGCATGCGCTTCAAGGAGGACACTGCGCCCTCTGTCTGGACGCCCGCCCGTTGGAAGCAAATATTCCAGAATGTGGACCAGTGGTGGTACTACGATCGAACCATCACGGCAGACTGGCTGAAGTTTTGGGCGGACTCAATCGGTGTACCCGCTTGGGCAGTGTTCGGCTTTTATGAACTGTCCGACATGTCAATGTACGGCATGATGATGCACTGGTCGGCTTTTTACGCCCATGTCGGACGGGCAACAATCGTGAACATCAGGGAGGAGATCCGGAAGGTGGATCCTGACGTCTTTGAGAAGTGCTGCAGCTGCTCTAAAACAAAGCCGAACGGGGCGCCTCCCCCGTGCTCAACCGCCCCAGAACTCTTTGGGGGCTGCCTGTCGCAGATACCGTTCCGCCAGCGCTTGGAGATTGCTGTTGAGCGGCTTGGGTACTTCGGCTTCTCCAACTACAATCGATTCACCGTTGTTCCCGATATGGCGTACAACCAGGTGACGGATGCCGGCCACGGCCTCCACTGGTGCTACATCAACTGCTTCAAGACGAACGCCATGAGCAAGATACTGCGGCTGCAGAACGTGGACGTGGAGGGCATCAAGAAGCTTCATGGCTGTGTAGTCGAGACTCCTTTTGCTTTTGCTTTAGAGAAAGTTCTTACATGAGCCTGACTGACGCTCATTGAATACGCAAACTGTGACTCTAAGCACTCGTTTCAGCAAGCCAAGCAAGGTTTAACGATGCCTTCCTCAACACCCACGTGTGAGAGCTCAAGCGCCGAGCGCCCGAAGCAGCCGAAGCGCCTGAAGCAGCCAAAGTCCATCTTTGTTGAGGTTAAGGGTTTAGGGTTCAGGGTTCAGGGTTCAGGGTCAGGGTTTTGGGTTTAGGGTTTAGGGTTTAGGGTTTAGGGTTTAGGGTGTTTCTCCTGCCCGTGGCCAGTTCTCGACTCGAAGTCCTGACTCCTGTCCTGGGTACCCCGCCTCGGCCCGAAGGCTCCCTAGCAGAAGAGGACCCCGACACAAGGGGGTTTAGGGTTTAGGGTTTGGGGTTTAGGGTTTAGGGTTTAGGGTTTCGGGGGGGGGGGGAGGTTGACCACGTACACCAGCCGTCACCCCAATCTCTGCAGGACATGGTTGCCTGGGCAAGAGCAACCCGACCTAACTTTGAGCCTAAACCCTAAACCCTAGCCCTAAACCCTAAACCCCAAGAGCCCATGCCCCCACGTGCCCCAAGTACCTTGAGCACGCTCTCCGAGCATGAGACATGCTTTAAGGGCGAAGATTGCTAGGAGCCCCACCCTAGACCCTAGACCCTAGACCCTAGACCCTAAACCTTAAACCCTAGACCCTAGACCCTAGACCCTAAACCCTAAACCCTAAACCCTAAACCCTAAACCCTAAACCCTAAACCCTAAACCTTAAACCCTAAACCCTAAACCCTAAGGGGCTCCTGGAAACACAATTATTGGCATTCTGGATGGGAGGGTGAACCATGGGATCCTAAAAGCCCTGAGCCCCAAGCACCCGAATCCCCCACAGTTGAGGAGTGGGGTTTGGGGTTTGGGGTTTAGGGTTTAGGGTTTAGGGTTTAGGGTTTCGGCTTTAGGGCTTTAGGGGGTTTAGGGGTTTTGGCGGGACTTTTGCGATGCGGGTCTTCAGGTTTAGCGGCCGCAAGACCTCCGCTGCAGCCCCTGCACAGGTCGCCCTGACGCCAGGGCCTTCGGCAGCACTCCTCTCATTGCAGAGACCACAACTGTCTCTCTCTCTCTCTCTCTATATATATATATATACAAATATATATCTATATATATATATATGTAGAGTTTTGCCATATCATATATGTATGTATATATATATATACATGCATATATTTTTGTTTTTTGATTACAATTTTTTGTCATGCCGCCGAGCGTAGCACGATGATGAGTATCAGGTTCTTTTTTTTCTCAACTTTGACGTGTGGAATCATAACTTTCTTGCTTCCTTTTGTGGAGCATTGCTTACATCTCGCATGCGTCTTCTAGTTGTGTTCATATGCACAACGCCCGCTGAGGACGTTTTGGGAGGCTTAGGGGTACTGAAAGGGGGCGGGCAAAGGAGGGTGACCACACTTCCAACTTGGGATGTTCCCCCCTCACACTAGCAGTCCTGAATAGGGATTTTGGTACCTGCAATTATAATCCTTATTGAGGACTGCAAGCATAAGGGCCAACTTGTCACCCAAGTACTGGGGTTCTCTTCGCCCTAAATGCTGAGGTTTCAACCTTAGGGGCTATGGTTTCCTAGAATAAGGACGGGCTTCGGGCTTATGTTGGGGAACCCTAAACCCTAATCGTTCGATCCGCCGCTGCTCTGACCCCTCGAAGCAGAGATCCGTGTAGATGAGAGACAGTAGAGATGAGGACTGCTCATCTCCAAAGCCTGCCAGGGAAACCTCGAACATGCCGAGCAGCCTTGAACCCACCCAAAATCCAAGTCCCACAGCCTCCCCGACCTTTTCGGATTCACCTGAAGATCCGAATCCCCCCAGCCGACACTTTGACAAAAACTTCATCCCACAGAGCCTTCTTGCCTTCTAAGCCATGAGCGGCATGTGGGCCGCTTGGTCCAGCACAGGCCCAACAGACCCGAAACGGGTTTAGGGTTTAGGGTTTAGGGTTTGGGATTTGGGGTTTAGGGTTTAGGGTTTGGGGCTTAGGGTTTAGGGTTTAGGCCGGTTTAGGGTTCAGGGTTTAGGGTTCGCGGGGCAGTCTTGGGGGCCGGATCTGGACCTCAGGGCTTCCCAAAACCTGGTTCCGTACAGTCACTTGAGTACAGAGGAGGCTGGACCATGCCATTGCCAACTGTAGAGCTACCCGGAAAAAACTCTCTGAACGCAGCAAAATGGCATCGATGTCCTAGATCCCGAGCCCGAAGCTCTAGGGTTTAGGGTTCGCTCTCATCAGCCGAGGAATGTGTTTGTGGCTTCAAGAACAAGCCGACGAACCAGGCCTCACGTCTTTGGGCGCAGCGGAGGATTCCTGTGCCGAGTAAGCTTATTCCCCCCCCGAAGTAGGAGTCGGGGTTTACCAGCGCAAACCACACCAACACCATTATTAGCCCAATCCCCCCCGGAACCCTTCAAGAAAGTCCGAAGCCCTAAACCCTAAACCCTAAACCCTAAACCCTAAACCCTAAACCCTAAACCCTAAACCCTAAACCCTAAACCCTAAACCTTAAACCCTAAACATCCTGGATCAACCCGAAAGGTCTGCGGTGGGACGGGACCACTGGGCTGCAAGGCTGCTCGACCAGGCGGACCCAAGTTCCCCTAAACCCTAAACCCTAAACCCTAAACCCTAAACCCTAAACCCTAAACCCTAAACCCTAAACCCTAAACCCTAAACCCTAAACCCTAAACCCTAAACCCTAAACCCTAAACCCTAAACCCTAAACCCTCAACCCTAAGCCCTAAAGCCTCACACCCTTGCAGGGCCCATGTCGGGTTGCACGGTTGAGGGGCGTGTGGGTTTTCCATTCAGCGTGTAGGGCTGTTTAGGATCTCGGGATCTTTCCATGAGGTTTGGTGGGGTTTAGGGTTTAGGGTTTAGGGTTTAGGGCTAGAAAGAAATCTGCAGGGTGCCCAAGGCCTTTGGGGTGCGGGGGCCGTGGACTGAGGAGTCTTGGTGGCAACGGCTTAGTGCCTTAAGAACCAAGCCTCGTTTCTAGGCATCTGCCTGCAAGACCCCTTCTGCAGTTCGAGGTTGCCCCAAAAAGACAGCTTTGGGCTTTGGGTTCTTTAGGGGATTGTCAAGGGAGTGCGCCCGTATATTCCCCAAAAGGCCACCCCCAGGGGATTGGGCAGCCGTCTTCCTCAAGCTCCCGTTTCTTTGGGGGTCTCACGAGGCAGGCCCAAACGCAAAACCCTAGACCCTCACCTTAAACTACCCAAAACCCAAAACCCAGAACCCAAAACCCAAAACCCTAAACCCCCAAACCTACGCAGCCCTACGCCCCCGAACCCTCCAGAAATGCCTTCAGAGTCCGTCTGGGACCCCTACACCCTAAACCCTAAACCCTAAACCCTAAACCCTAAACCCTAAACCCTAAACCCTAAACCCTAAACCCTAAACCCCTAAACCCCTAAACCCTAAACCCTAAACCCTAAACCCCTAAACCCCTAAACCCCTAAACCCCTAACCCCCATAAACCCTTGGACAGGTGCGAATCAGATGGCATTCCTCGGCATGGCCCCTTGGGCTTCCTTGGCAAATCCCGCGGGGGTGGGGCAGTGGGCGGGGTTCAGAAAGTCGACCGGCAAATATGGTTGTTGAGGGTTGAGGGTGCAGGGTTCAGGGTTCAGGGTTCAGGGCTTAGGGTTTAGGGTTTAGGGTTTACGGTTTAGGGTTTAGGGATTAGGGTTTCGGGTTTAGGGTTACTATTTCTATTCTTGTTGCTGTACCAGCAATTATGGTCATGATGATGAGTGTGATTGGCAATGTTCTACTTCCAGCTCTTGACGCCCCCCAAACCTGCCTCCAACCTATTCTGATATTCCTCACAAAGAGCTGTGTTCCAGAGTCCTACCACCTTACCATGCCCACAGTATGGGCCCTCGCAGTTCTAGCATACGTGGCCGCAATCTAGAGAGCTGCCCACGCCCTCGTCTGGGAGAACCGCCCGATGGAACGATCCCTGAACCCTAGAGAAGGCTGAAGGGTTTAGGGTTTAGGGTTTAGGGTTTCGGGTTTAGGGTTTAGGGTTTAGGGTTTAGGGTGAGCCCCCGTAGAAAACCCTCAGCTGCGTAGGTGGAAAGCTGAGCCCCGCTGAAGTGGGGTTTGGGGTCGAAAAGCCTCAAGATCTTGGTCTGGAAGCCCAAGGGGGTCTCGGGTTTCGGGTTTTCGGTTTAGGGTTTAGGGTTTAGGGGTTAGGGTTTAGGGTTTAGGGTTTAGGGTTTAGGGTTGAGTTTAGGGTTTAGGGCTTGGTCTTTGGGATGGAGGAATAAGGGTGGTAGATTCCTCAGGGACTGGTGTACCAGAAAGGCCTCAGATGGTGAAACTGCGCACCCTAAACCCTAAACCCCAAACCCCAAACCCTAAACCCTAGACCCTAGACCCTAAACCCTAAACCCTAAACCCTAAACCCTAAACCCTAAACCGAAAACCCCGAAACCCCTTACCCCTAAACCCTAAGCCCTAATCCCTAAACCCTAAACCTCCAAAGACAAAGCCCAGGCCCCAGGCCTCACTTCTGCGAGCCAGGCAGGTTGAGGGAGGGCCAGTCTAGGGTTTCGGGGTTTAGGGTGTAGGGTGTAGGGTTTAGGGCTTTAGGGGTTTAGGGGTCTAGGGGTTTGGGGGTTTAGGGGTTTGGGGGTTTAGAAGTTTAGGGGTTGAGGGGTTGAGGGGTAGGGGTCTAGGGGTTTGGGGGTTTAGGGGTTTAGGGGTTTAGGGGTTTAGGGGTCTAGGGGTTTGGGGGTTTAGGGGTTTAGGGGTTTAGAAGTTTAGGGGTTTAGAAGTTTAGGGGTTGAGGGGTTTAGGGGTTTAGGGGTTTAGTGGTTGGGGATGTAGGGTTTGGGGTTTAGGGTTTGGGGGTGTCAGGGTTAAGGGTTCAGGGATTTAGGGTTCGCTGCAGGGTTGAGGTCTTTGGGGTACAAGGGCGTTGGATGGGCAGGTCGCTAGACAACTGGGACCCGTTTCGCAATGTACCTCGCCATGTGGCTTGTAGGCGGGAGTTATGGCAGGAGCTGAGGTGCTTTCTTGAGCTTCGGTGTTCAAGCTGTGAATTTGTG